ACGATTCAAAATTGATTCTTGTTGGAGGTTCCCAATCGATTGAACGTGAAGAGGACGACAATAGATGCTTCGATTCCATTTTTGATAGGCCTGGACCCACTTAGAGACCTCTTGAGGCGGGATCAATACTACTAGGACCTACATACTGGATCGATGAGAAAACCGATGTCAAATCGGAGATATACAGTACACAGCAACAGCGAGGATTGAAGGAAGTGAAAGCTCACCTGACTCTTGAGGACGACCTGCGTGACACGCTGCACCCCGTTGAGAAATCACAAGGGGGACATCGACCGACTACGGTTCAAAGTGTGACGGACCAGATTCTAATGAGACGATAAGCAAATCAGCGACGAAGAGCGTTGAAAACGGCGTACAAAACCCTATTTTTTATATCCTCAACAGGAAAGATCAACCAAGGGGAAGAAGACCACACTCACCTGACCCTTGAAATCAACCTCGCGACACGCTACTCTTCTGGGTGGCCGATCCCGGCCAATGAACTCGCGCGATTCGGCAGACGGCAGAAAACTATATGATCCGATGAGTCCTGACCAATAGAAAGGCAGGACTCAGCATTAATGGAAAATTTGAGAAGAAACAAAGTCACTTACCTGTCATCGATGCATCGCAAATCCGATCAAAGACCGCGGAAGAAATTGGAAGCCGGAGTCGGTCGAGGATGTCGGCGGTACTGATCGGAATTGAAGCCGGCTGTTGGATGCGTGAACTCGGATTGGAATGGCGCACACGGAACGAAGCACCCGCGACTCGGCGCTCTCGACTGCGGCCGCAGTTTCTCTTCAACCTTGCGCGACCCGAATCAAAACTCGACCCCCGAACGATCACAAAACCCCTTGGGCCCCTCCCAAGGGGCTTGACAGGAAAATCAGGCTACCCAGCTACTCTATGACAACAGAGAGATCACCCAGACGTCCAGTGCTGCCCAGCTGCGCACAGCGCACAGTAAAAATAAAAATTTGTATATAAATAAGATAAAATAAAATAAAAATAAAGTAAACTAAAGAAGAGGAAAAATAATAAAAATGCCCCCCCACCTCTGCACTTTTTGGACAGAAGGGGGGTACACGGGGACCCTGAGACTAACATTTACAGGGGAAACCCTGTCGAATCATCTGTACAAAATTCAGTTTAAGGTTCAAAAATCACAAATACGGCTACCCCAGCTTGGCTCCACTGCAAAGTTGGGGGAGGCTATCACACTCTTTTTCCAGCCACACTCATTTTTTTTCAGCTTTTTCCTCCAAATACCCACTACGCTTTTCACTTCATTTCATGTTTAAAAATTAACTCTTTCTCTATTTTCTTCCCATTTTTTCCTGGTAAATTGTCTGGGGACAGACAATAAGTTGGGGGAGGCTGTGGTAGTCAAAAATGTGAAAATTAAAAGTTTTTTTCTTTCTTTTCTTATATATATACTAGTATATGCCCCCAAATTTGGGGAGGCAGCTTGTGTTTGCCCCGGATGTTGGGGGTTTTACTCGATGACCTTTGGGGTTTTCTTGAGTTGGACACCTGTCTGCCTCGATCTAACGCCGGCGTCGACAAATCCAACAATAGTGAATTGGAGGTCGACGCCGGCGTTAGAAATGAACTGGGTTTGTTTGGCCCTCTGAGGCCATTTTTTTAGTTATATGTAGATATTTTCTTCATACTATCATCCAATCACTCTCAGAAATCACACCATACGGCTCAAGAACTGGACTCTACGGATAAATTCACCCTTGGTCACCACGGAGGCGTCACTGGAACACACCTGGATCAACTCTTACCCAACAATGGACAACATATCACAAGTATTTCAACCATCAAGTACATGTCAACAATCACATTTACAACACATTTACATACACACTCATTTACATACATCTACACTCTTTACATTTCACTTCTACATATTACATCATACCTGCAGACTGAATTAGTGTATTTTCCTTGCATGACAGCTGCAGCTTACACCACCACACTCACTTGTAAACACCACACAACCTGACCAATCAGAATCACTCTTTCAACTGTTTGGCCCACCACTTTAACTCTTGTACATGTCTGACCAATCACATTCACTCATTCAACTTATGTATGTAGCTAAAATCCCTCATGTAATAGCCCAGGCCAGCCAAAATCACTCATTACTGGCTTCCCTGGAGCTAAATTCCCTCACTATTTTCTATATAAGGAGGCTCTCCTCCCAGTTGTTGTCTCCTCAGTGTATTATTCATCAGTCACAAGTTTAGTACCACTCAATCAAAGATACACCACCTTTACAGAACCTTACCAAACACCAATAACAACTAAACTCATTTCTCAGCATCACACAAACTCATTCCTGAACTTACCCTATCACTTGATTAAAACTTGCCAAGCTGAGCTTGGTGGGTCTTGTTATCTGATAGTATAGAAGGGCAGAGCTTGCACCTCCACCATCCCCTTCTCCATTCAGCAAAAAGGGTCTTACAACCACTTTTTGAGTCTTACAACGCTACACTAACCGCTACGGTTAGTGTAGCGGCCCACCGTTGCTAGAATCTTGTAAGAATTTTGAGCAAAACCTGGCTTACCTGGTTGAAAGATGACTGGATAACTTTATATTTTTTTGCAGTTGTATTTGAGAGATATTTACCAATTTAATCAGTTTAATTCAAGGCCTAATTTTCTTGAATGTGTGACATTTCTTAAGACTAAGTAATATTATTTGTTGTGTTGACTCTGTAACTTGTTCAAATCTTGCCCAATTTGTTCCAATTTCTCTATTGCAACTTGAAGTTCAATCTTCTTGGATTTGTACAGCTTTCTGAAACTTTCAATAAGTTTGTTTCCCATTTCCAAATTGTAATCTTCTCTACAATTTGCTGTGATCAGGATTTTTAAAATCTGAATAATTTTGGTTTCATCCTTGAATTGGTCATCATCTCCAGATAATTCTATCAACCTTCTCATTTCAATCAATTCATGATTTGTCAAGATTCTATCCAGACCATAAGGAATTTTTCCTTTGTGCCAAATAACTAATGAGTTTGCCATTTCTATGAGGAGTCTTGGTACCTTTCCACTTTTCAATATCTTTTGTTGAATGGCATATTTTCTAAATATTTGAATGGGGGTGTTTTTATAGTTTTGGCCTATTTCCTTCAATTGGGTCTCATAAATTTTTTCTTTTTGAGTCAACTGGATTCCCATGAACTTTTGCATTCTTTCAAATGCTTCACTGGCCAAGTTATATATTTCATCACTTTCTTTTTGATTGAACTCTCCTTCAATTTTTTTCATATGATCAAGGTAATTCCACGCTGATTCAATAGGATAGACATGGGACAAGATTTTTGCCATTTTCTCACCATGCATCTTTGTGTCATATTTTTGTACATTTTCTTGACTTGTTATTTTGAAATTGAACTCATCATTCCACCTAACCTTCAAATGTTTCCAAATATTTTCTTCAATCAAAGACAGGCTATGATGAGATCCAGAAGAATTGCTTTCTTCCAGGTAATCATTCAATCTTACAGATTCTTTGTCACTGGATTTGGCATTTATTAGCTTCTGGAAAATAATCTGGTCTTTTTTAGTCCATTCTTCTCCATTTCGTGCTCTAGCCTCAAGATCATTCAAAGCTCTAATAATACCCTTTTTGTGACAAAGCTTTATTGAAAAGTCAAGCAGGGATTCTTGAGGCTTGAGAGGGGAATACTCTTCTTGTACTTCATGAATCTTTCTCATTCTCAGTTCCGCAAATTTGCCCTGGAAAGTTTTCACAATTGTGCACCAATATGATTATGGGTCATGGCCAAAACCTCTGTTGTGCCATATGCCTTCAATTGTTTCAAGTTCTGCTTTTGTGAATTTGGGGCCCTTCATCCCATAAATCAAGAGTTGGTGAATTACGGTTGGGATTGTCTTTTTGCAGTTCTGGCAGCGGAGAGTGGTTTTGCGAGAGTCTTCCAAGCTTCTCCAGATTTTTATCAAATACAGGCAAGCATTCTGTTGCCTCCAATCATCTCCTAAAAATAAACGGTTGGTAAAACGAATTAATCCGGACAAAAAAGATTGCAACCTATTCTGTGATTCCATTTTGAGGATCTGTAACATTGCATCTTCTTCCAAGTAATTATTCTTGATTTTGGACAATTCCCTGTCCACAGATACAAGTTCTTCAATGGTATCCATTAGTTCAGAAATGGATTTTTTTCTAGTAACCAGTTCTTCATCACTTCTAATTAGATATCCTTGAATCAATTTTCTAGGTTTATTATCGTCTTTTCGGCTTGATGACCTATCCATGATTGGAGGCGTTGGATTATGTTCCATTACAATTTCGTTCTTTTGTAGTACAGATTTGCTGGATCGCGCATTCCAGCTTGCGGGACACCGTCCTTAACAACTGATTCACCAACAGTTGAAGTTTCCGAGATAATATTCTGCGTTGCCATTACACTGAAGTAGGTACAACAATAACAGAGCATCAACAAAAGGTGTGATGTCAAGTCATGCCAATAGGAGGTCTTCCGCCTTCGGGAACCGTTGGCATTACAGCGAGCTTCTGGTGCAAGCATAATATCCTTAAAACTCTTCCCTAGAGACCAGCTAAAAACAAGAAATTCAATGTTGAGCTGCCTCGATGTTCCTGTCGTTTGGGGGATACATAAAAAGACCCGGCTGAAAGCGTTGATGATGAAGTATCTGAGAAAAATAAATATTGAGTCAGGAGTGTTGCAGGTCAAACAACCCAAGGGTGGACTCCATGTATACCTTTACCATTCCTAGTAATTTATATATGTATGTGTCATTGGCGCCGGACCAGCATTATGTCAGTGAAACGGGGAGGCCGTTCAGAAAGACCAGCATGTTATGTACCACCATCTGAACAAGTTGTATGTGTGGGTCACCGACTCACCGCCCACGCAGTGACAAATTGGCAGTCAGGTTGACCCCGAGTACAAAACCCCCAGATACATATACACACATCTTGCAATGGCTGAATGGTTGGAGCAAGCAGCGGGCTTTGATTGTTGTAAACTTGCACAGCTTTTGCCCCAGTGCCGCCTCAAGCAAATGGGATTGAGTTTATGTATGGTACATGGGTAAATTGCATTCCTAAGCGTGACTTTGTCGCACGCAGGTCATACATTTTTTTCCCTTTGTTTCTAAACATGTCAAGTCTGTAAAGTATCTTGTACAACTCATCTTTACTAGTGGAAACCATTAATTGGCACAGCCTAGCTGGCCAGACATAAAAACTCTTCACTGGTTGAGTCAGCCGAATTGTAATGTATAGACAGAAAAAACAAAATGATGATCGATACACACCAGACTTTCTTTAACTAAGCTTTGATTGTGAATATGTATACATATTAAGAATATGATGGATGATAATTTACTGACAATAGATGAGCTCAAAGTAATGCGCACTAAGGAAAAATAAGAATAGAAAGAAAGAAAACAATTAATTAATTAATTTCTTTAGATTTGCCTTTATTTTTTGAAGGAGAAAAATCGAATTGAATGGTTTGTTGATTATCAACATCATTAGTATGGTATCCATTGCTCTTTACACGAGGAGCTTGGTTCAAGTTTTGACGCGTAGAATCACTAAATTGATCCTGAATGATCCGATAGTGAGCCAATTCACTGGCGCTGATGGAAGGTTTGACTTGCTTCAGAGCGACCATGAAGTCCTCTTTGTCCACCTCAGTGATCGAGCCTTCCAGGTCTTCATCATGTTCATCATCATTAGGTCTATCAAGATCGTCTGAGTCGTCCGTCTTCAAAGATCGTTTTGATTTCATAGCCTCTAACCGTTCGATCTTGCGGATCAAACTAGCCATTAAAGCTTCGGAACAGATCGAGTAAAAATCAGCTCCAGTGAAGATGTTTCCGCTCCCTTTTTGAGATCCGATCCGGTCGACTTGATCAATCAACCAATCAAAATCAAACGAACTCGAAAGATTGAACTTTCTAGTTAACGATTTCAAGATTTCTAACTTTTGATCTCTTGAAGTCGGTATTCCTAAGTATATCAGTTTGTCGAATCGGCCCGGTCTTAATAAGGCCGGATCTAATAGGTCTGGTCTATTGGTTGCTCCTATAACAACAACTTCCCCGTTACCACTACCATTTGTGGCCCCTTCTTGTTGATTGTCGTTACTTGAACTTCCAGAGGAGATACCATCTAATTCGGCCAATAGCTGACTGACTATTCTATCCATCACTCCTCCGCTATCGCCTTGATTCCCTCGTTTCGGTGCGACACTATCAAGTTCATCAAAGAATATTACGCATGGTCTAGCCCCTCTAGCCCTTTCAAACACTCGTCTGACATTCGCCTCTGATTCACCGATGTACATATTCAACAGCTCAGGTCCCTTGACGCTAAAAAAATTAAGTCCACACGACGTGGCCACCGCCTTTGCAAGCAACGTCTTGCCTGTTCCGGGGGGTCCATAGAGTAGTAGACCAGATCGACGTTTGAGACCGTTCGCGAATAGTTCGGGGTGCTGAATTGGCAACTGAACTGTTTCCAGAATCTCTTCTCGTACTTTTGCAAGACCTCCGATATCATCCCAACTGACTTTGGGGATCCGGGGTGCACCAATACTCTCGGAGTATTCTGAACGCGCCTTCCCGAGAGCTTTTTCGATGTCTTTCGCCATCAGCTGAATACCTGCAATAGCTAGTTGCTCAATTCCGGTTGCATGTTTACGCGCGCGAGTGACTGCAGCCATTCGGGCTTGAGTTACCAGATGGACCAAATCGTTCGCGACGAGACCAGCAGTTTCGAGGGCAATAGATTTGAGACTGACGTCAGGTGCTAATGAGTCCTTCCGTAAAAGCTCCTTCATGATTTCTAGCCGCTCAGCCTCTGATGGGGCCTCGATTGCCAATTGAGTCTTGAACAGAGCCAACATACTCAAAGGCAGTAAATCCGGATCGGTAGTTGTGCCAACAATTATCAACGGGAATTTGACGGTAGATTGGCTGGTCCAGTTGCGCCGAGCTTCATTGAAACATTCCTTCAATATCGCGATGATGCCAGGTTGTTGACCAGTTTCCAAGCTTTGAGATTTTCTTGCTAAACCATCCAGATGCCGCAGTAATAGCACACAAGGTATCGCTTGGAGTGCTCTTTCGAATCTCGCTCTGAGAGTACCCGCCGTCTTAACTTCAGTCTCCCCTAGTAAGTCAAAACAATTGAGCTCTAAGAAATTGAAACCGGTTGCGTCTACGGCTCGTTTGGTTAGTGTTGATTTGCCGCAACCGCGAGGCCCGCTGATTAAGACCGTCAAATTCAAATCATAGTTTCTTGATTCCACTCTGGCGGCTGCTAAAAGATATTCATACAACATTCTCTCGGGTGATTGAGAGTTAGTTGCACTATGAGGCGAATAAAACAATGGCGTTGAGCTGTCTGGAATGTAATTAATCACATGAATTAGTCAGCGCGAGGACTTGATCGAAATAAACAGGCAAATCTCCTCTTAAAAATGTACTCAACCAATTCCCAGCCAATTTTTTGCATCAGGTACGAATCCGAATTCCAGGCCAGTTTGAACCAATTTGGTGATTTTAGGGTCAACGATCCCCCCTAACACGCCATCCTCCATCAACTCGCGTATCGGCAACAGGGGATTTGTTTGGTTGGTTTGATTAACAGCTGAAGAGCCATGGGCGGAATCTTGATGACCATGATCGAAGTTAGGCTGAGCTTGATCCAACGTAGGGTATGATAATTCGAGGTTGGTTACTTTGAAGTAAATTGGTAAGGTTGGATATGAAACTAATGATGATGGTAAGAAATGGCTAAAGAAAGGAGGTGATCGTAATGATGATAAGTTGCTTTTTTGAGTTGTGGACTGTTGATTTTCTGACCAACTAAACTGAACTCACTCACTCAGGGTCTAGCTCATCTGCCGATGGCTCTGATTGTGAAGGGTGGGACTCAGTAAACCTGGCCGAATCCCCGTCAATGGCAATGGCGATGACGTCACCGTCAAGAAGAACCCTAGCTTTCTGCTCAAAATATTTCTTGAGGGCGCGCAAGAAGGATGGCTGATAAGATTTGGTGAGTGCTTGGGGCGATGCCAGTCTGGCAAGAGTGAGTGATCGGATCGTTGGTAGAGCTGAATGACTGAGATGGGAGGGCAGACTCGCAGCGAGTGCGCTGAGTGGCGCCGGACGGTTAAGATCGAGTGACCGAACGGCTGCCGAGTAAGAGATCGTGCCGAGCAGATTAAGTAGCAAGACCGGTGGGACTAGTATCAGCGCTGGAGCCTGCCGACTTGGCTGAGAGTCGAACTGAGGATGGTGTTGGCGGAAATTGAGGATGGCAGGATGGTCATCATCACAACCGATGATCCTTACTAGTCGGTGCTGATGAGGGTCTGAGCTTGAAATGGGTTGATCGCCATGATCTGCTGTGCAGGACTTGGTCAACAGGAGCCAATCGCCACTCTGGACGCCGATCTTCATCAGATCCACCATCCGGGCAAAGCAGTGAAATCCGTCATCCTCGTTCGGATGCAGACCAAGTGAATGGGTATCGGGCTGATGGGGAGACTCAAGCAATGGCAGACCATGACAAGGATGCCCCAGTGATGAAGTTGATTGTGGGTAGCTCGATAGATCGACCAAGGGCTGATTAAGAACCGAATGGGCTAAGAAATCTAGATCGATCTCGAGATCCTCTTCCTCCTGTACGAGTTCAAAACTTTCCAAAGCGTCGATAACTGGATGATGGTTCAGGAGACTGACAGGATCAATATTGATAGTCTCGGCAGCCGTTCCATTGATATTGATGTTAGCGGTAGTCGATGTGGGAGTGAGAGGATTCTGAGCTGATGGGTCAGCCTTGGCGACGATGGTGAGTAAGGTCTGAGTGGGCAAGAAGACGCCTTGAAGGACGGGTTCGGTGAGCAAGACGTTGAACGAAAGTCTGCAGATTGGTTGAGGGTGTTGATGGGTGTGCAGAACAGTAGTAGGATGGTTATCATTGTCATTATCATGAGTAAGACCTGGTTTGGGGAAGGATGGGAGATAGACTTGGAGGAGTTCGGATTGGCGGATGATCCGAGGTAACAGACTGAGCTGAGACTTGAGTTCGGCTTGAAATTCGGGGGACTCGATCGAGAATGAGTCTGGGGTTGGATCGATAAGCTCGAGTAGGACGGCTGAGAGTGGGATGGCTTGGGCCGGAGAGAGGTGCAGGAGGTGTTGCGGATGGTGAGTGGGGTCGAGTTGGAGGGTGGATTGGATTTGGCCGAAAAGTGCGTGACTCGAGTAGACCAGGAAGCGGGCGGCTGAGGAAGGAGAACATGCTTCTTCCTCCTGATCGATCCAACGGCCAAGCTATTAACAGAGTCCTACTGATCAGCTGAGCCAAAATTTAGAATCCGATCAATCAAAAAAAGCGAAAACTTACGTTTTCGAGTTCCAGTTCAAGTTGCGGCTCAACTTGTCCGAACAACTCGGTCTGAGTCGAGAGTATGATCGATCGGCGATGACTATCACCATGGCCATTGGTCAATGAGACAATCAAGCCCGTCTTCGTCTGGCTTGGTGAGACTAGCTCCGCCCTCAATCGGCTTGAGATCAACAACACTTCATCAATCTTCTTCCGGTGAATACTTGGGGACGTTGATGAAAAGTACGAGTTGAGGTTGACGGGCTTGAGTTCGACCGACAAACTATTCATCTTGGAAAACTTTCTTCAAGCAGTTGTCGATTGTCAAGTCACCCGCTGTGTGTAGCCTGTTCGAGAAACCAGAACAAATCCAACAGGACAGGTGGTCAGAGACTTTTTGGCCGAGAGATTGGGCGAGAATTGAGATGGGAAAGAAAACTTAGTAGTTGTGCACTTACAGCCTCTCAAGCTCAAAAACGACCCTTAATTTGGATGTCGTCAAAAAAAAAACCTTGAAGTTCTGGCTCCTCGGGACGAGCAGGTCATAAATCATTCGTAACGGCTCGGTTAACATTCGGCACCGGCACTCGGGATATGTAGACTGGCGGCTGACTGGTATGATGGACACGGGCCGGTGCACCCGAGAAGAGTTGCGGAGTCAAGCCTTATCCCCGAAAAGCCTTCTGAAGGAGCCGGGGGACATCCGGGGGCCAGCTTGACAGACCGTCCCCGCTTCGGCAATAACGGGGTATTGGAAGAGAATTCGACATCGACCATAGTTTGACTGTGCACTTGTGGTCGAGGCTAGCTAGCAGCGTTTCTTCATGTCAGGTGAGTCAGTCAAGCTAGCCAATAATGATGGTTGAATCCTAGAAAACTAACGTGCGGATTTATATGACGGCCAGGTCGAGGAGCGTACTACAAAGCGCGGTATGGAGGTGGTGGCAGGGGCGGTGGATCGACCGGAAATCATCAGTCGTTCTCCCCTCAGCACCATGATCTCAAGCGATTGAAGTTTGATCCAGGAGCGCAAAATGGAGCTGCACTCAGACAGATGTTATTGGAGCGGGATAATCGGTATCCGATTCATACTTTTTTTTGTGCCTCTATGGCCCCACCACCAAGGTTGCTAATTCTTTCTTTTTTTTCGTCCCAAATCTCCATGTTTTTAGTCCGTATCCTGCTTACCGTGACACAGAGGGATCTTGGAAGTTCGACCGGTTCCGCTTAGGTGTGATGAGGATTCAATCCGATCCTTTTGCTCCGCCCACACGTTTGAAAATCAATCTCTCCGATGACCAACATCGATGGCCTCAACACCTCCGCGCATCGCCTATCAGACGTACTGCTCTGGCTGACTGGCTAACCCGACGGTTCGCTCGTCTCATCAAATTACCTCAAACCGGCTCCTCTCAATCGGGCGGTGGCGGATGGCATAGTGCCAAAGGCGGAGATTTTTCCATCGATATCCCCGGTGAACAGGTCCTCGAACGCAGCTCGTGCAGGTTCAATGATCAAAATGGCGAATTAACACTGAGAATGTCTATCAACTTACCAGCGAGGGGCCGAAGTATCTTGGGCGAGCTTGCGGCCAAGATGCTTTGTGACCAACTTTCAAATTATGTTGATCGTGGCTTGGTTTGGGTCAAGGAAATCGAGTCTGAAGCGGCTGAGTGGGTGGAGACGGTAGAAGATCAAGATGCTTTACGGAATCTCGTCACTGAGGCCGGTGAGCCTTCCGATCTGTTCTTGAATTAGTTACACCCTCATTGTTTTTTGACCGGAGTCTAGCCCAATCTGTGAAACAGGTTTGACAGCATTCATCGGCAACGGATCAATCCTTCCAAGACAGTCTGGTGCATCCGCTTTGCCAATGCCCAGCTCTACCCCAGGATTAGTTCCATTCAAAAGCCCCCCGACCTTGGAGCGTGTATTTGAGTTGCCCAATAGGGGAAAGGTGGCTGGAATGGCCATTCCCAAAGGAATCACCATCATTGTTGGTGGGGGATTTCATGTGAGTTACGCCATAGTTTTACTTTGAAACACATCTGATGCAACAACAACCTAATATCCTGGCACTTTTCTCATCGATGTTGATCACAGGGAAAATCAACCCTCCTCGAGGCAATCTCTAATGGTCCTTCGAATCATACACCAACCTCTGGCTTGAGTCTGGTTGTCACTCCCACCGCGACGATCCCAGTGTCTTCAGAGGATGGCAGAGTGGTCAACTCATGCCATATCTCCCCTTTCATCCGCAATTTACCCAATGGAAAAGATACAGACTGTTTCTCAACTAGTGATGCAAGTGGAAGCACGAGCATGGCAGCCTCATGTGTTGAGGCAATTGAGCTGCTCGGGGGTCGGCCTGGGACAATACTCTTGGACGAAGACGGCTGCGCAGGTGAATAGATTTTCCTTTCATTCCCCATGGAAGCTAGAGCCTTGCTGATACAAGAATTACTCGGATTGTATGCAGTCAATTTCCTAATCCGTTGCGTTTTCTTTCTATGTCTCGTTGACCGTTTTTCTTTAAAATTGACCCAATCTAGCACCTTACAGGAGACGACAAGATGCGCCTTTTGGTACAAAAAGAATCCGAACCGATTACCCCCTACATCTTCAAAGTAATTAAATCAGACATTATTGGTTCATGGAATCAGTATGTTTTGACCATCTTCCCTTATTTTAGGTTCAATCCCTGTGTAAAGACCATGGTATTTCCACAATCATGGTTGTGGGAGGCTGCGGTAAGTTTCAATTAAGTGAGAATCAACAGGAGTTCCATAAACGATCTTAACATCTGTTATTTCATAGGTGATTACTGTCATGTGGCGGACTGCTGTATTATGATGGAGAACTATCAAGCCTTGTGAGTGCTTTCCTCAATTGCTGAAGGAGTGAGCTGTGCCGACTTGATTGAATTCTGTACTGACGCATTGCAACATATACACAAAATCTTGGCAGTGATACTACCGATCGAGCAAAGAAAGTGGCTGATTCATTCACTTTCGAGGTCGAGAAAGAGCAAGGTAGGTAGCAAGCTTTCTTGCTCTCTTTGGTCATCTGGTGATCAGGACATGTTATTCAGTTGGTCTGGTACATTTGCACCTGCAGAAAATGGCTTTCAGGGCCTTCGACATCGGAAAGTGTCGACAAAATCCCTCCTCCCACGCTCATCGCCGCCCAAGATTACTGCCAAAACAACACACTGTATTCAGCATGGCCCAGAGGCCTCCGAGCCCGACCATCAACTCGACCTCAGCGGTCTCATTCAACTTTCTACAACCAGTCAGACCCGCTCGATCGCCGGTTTCTTGGCGCACTTCGGCGCAGGTAATCAAGCGCAAAGCATGACACTTCAAGAACTCATGGCTCTTTACGAGCGTCTCTGGCAGACTGAAGATGGCGTAGAGCGTCTAGCTGAAGCAGGTAGGATGGATCCCGGAGCACTGGCAAGAGTCAATAGCCTTTTGGTTGGAATGGCAGTTAACCGCTTGAGAACAGCAAGGTTTGAACAGCTAAGCGCGCATACAAAGTGATCACACCCATCGGTAAGCTTCTTTGCACTTGTTGAACTACCTTGGAAATGGGTTGATGGAACCAAGCTTTGAATTTGATCTGCTGGTTCGAACATTGTCGTCAATAGGAAGATGTCGCCTCTGTCGAATTGCGCCGGCTGGCTCTGATAATCTCGTCAAGCCCGTGATCAGGTGTGAGAAAAAACTGCCCAGGTCTTTGGGGATACTGGTTCAATGTCAAAAATTGCAAACAAGTCTGGGCGAGTCGGCTTGCCAAGCAACATATATACATACCCTGCAATGAATGAAATTTCATGAAATATATGTACCTTTGAGAAATAAGTTTCTCGGTCCTCAAGTCACCCTCACTCATAGATGTCGTCATTGGATTGAGGTGATGGCATCTGAGTCCCAACCAACTTTGATTGGAATTTGCCTACATTAGTCTCATGGCTTGAAACAAGCAATCACAAAGTGAGGAGACTCGAACATTAAGAAGTTTTGGCCTGAGTGACAAAAAAGAAAGAAAAGATGTCTTAAATGGTGTAGTAATCTGGGAGAAACATCGTCATTGGGGCGTGCCTCAAAAGAAGGATATTGTAGTCATTAATTTGACATGATCTGTGGACCCCCTTGAGTCCCAGCAAGCCCTCACATCAAGACACTTCTCGCTTACCCTCTTCCACCACAACAGATACTATAGATCTTTCTACATGACCTTTAGAGGAGGAGAGGGGGGGGGGATTTGAAGAGAGGTGCAGAAATGTAGGGACACAGCAGTAAATCAAGTATGCTAACAAGAATTGACTCCAATGCTTACATTATCTGCTATATACTTATATCTGAATCTCTATATAATATATCTACACATATAATAACCTCAGGGAAAAAAGAGTCGCATTCTACAGTGATGATCCTTCTTTTAAAATAATGTAGGAAAATAAAAAGGAAGGATAGATGGGTAAGGATGATGATGAGTTCTATAAACAGATTGTCGGATATGCGGGTTGCTAACTTATTTTACTCCTAATTACATATGGATAATGCATATTTTTTGCTGCCTTTGGTTTTTTATGTTTTGTTTTCCAGAAAAAATTGAGAGAACAAAGAGGGGGTGATAGTAACTATAGAATCGAGTGATAACTAGCTACAAGTACATTAAAGAGTTTGTTGGGGTTGATCGACGTCGACGATTCTACGATACTTCAACTTCCGTAACTTCAATACTTTTTCGGTAAGGGAGAGGAGGTCTTTAAGGACGACGATGAGAGCACCAGCGAGAGTGTTTCTCCACCAGACGGGATCATCTTCCCCAGCTGAGTCGAGATAGTCAGTGATTCTGAAGCCGGTGAGAATCGATGGGAGCTTGAGCGGATGAGTGTCAGAACCGGCTTGGGTGCGGTTGGAGAACAGTTCGAATCGGGTTAGTTTATAGACTATATGTCCGAGTGAGCTCTTCAGTGTGGATAAGATCGAGGAAGCCGACGTGCTACTCGAGCCTTCTTGGGGGTAGGATGGCTGTTGATAGCTGAGTAATGACGATGAGATCTTCAGTCCCAGCAGAGTCCTTAACCACGGTCGATTCCTCGACAGTAGAAGCAGGAGAGTCCCGACGAGCGAGGCTGCACCAGGCAGGATCAAGGCTTCCATCCCAACCCTAATGACAGTCCGAAGACTGGTATAGTCTAGCACCAATTCGGCTGCAGGTGGCTGTTGACCATTCAATTCTTCCGCATCACCATCTTCCTCCTCGGCCTGCTCGAAATCTGCTCGGCCCTCGTTCCCCGCCGCCGCCGCTCGGTTCCCTTCGTGCGGACCTCCCCCGGCCACCGCTTGGGCTTGTCCACCCAGACCAAGTCCGACACCCAGTGGGTATTGGTAGGACATCCCTACACACTCTCGTCTCAGGATCATATTGCTGATCCGACTCCAGACGAAGCCCCAGCCGATCCTCATCCAGGGGATCAAGCATAGCGTCAGCCCGGGCTCGGGTGGGAAGACGTGCTCGAGTCTCAGCAGGTTCGGGTCGGCGAGATGATGAGTGCTGCTGTTGAACTCGCCGTCGAGAGCGAGCGGGGGGAAGGTGGAGAGGATGAAGGAGATCGGGAGGAAGGGGAGGACGGAGTCGAGCTGCTTGGTTCGACTGAGGATGAGGATCGGGCCGACCAGACTGAGTTGGAAGAACTTGAGGAAGTTCAGTCCTCCTCCATAGCGGTTTGCCGAAACCCAACGATTCCATCTGATCGGACCCAAGAAACATCTCGAAGCCCACAAGCCATAGGAGGATGCGCTGACGCCGACACCGAGGACGACACATCCGAGGGCAGACCAACTCATACCGGAGCTATACGGCCTTTTGAGACGATGGAGCAGGGAGAGTAATGGTGAAGACGGTTGGACGATTTGATAGATCGCTGCACATTGGGGACATTTGACGGGCGTGGAAAGCGGGGAGGAAATCGATGCGGGTGCGGGATGAGTTAATTGATAAGTGGTAATCCAGGTGAGCAAACACTAGATCAGAGGAGAATTGTCAGTTGCTCCAATTTTCTTCCCCTGAACTGGACAGTTGGAAGAAGCATACTGACGCTTTCGTGAGCTACTAATGAGCATCGACATGCCTTGACCCACCTCTGATTCTTCTTGTAGTTTGATCGTGCCTGTTGATTTGGCCTTCCAGCTTGCAGGGTTTGAGCCGGCCCTCTCTCCTGATGATCTTCCTCCTCGTCGTCATCATCGTAACAGATCCAACATTTTCGGGCTTCTGCCTTCTGAGGTGGATGATGATTAACTGGTTTGAAGGTAGCTGATTGAATTTCAGAGTAGTTTCTTCGGGGTAAACTGCTAGTGGCCTTCCGATCATTCTCAGTCGGGCTGCTTTTTGATCTTGTGGTCGATCCGTGGAACATCAGTCCATGAGAAGTTGGTGGTGGTGGTGGTGGTGGTGTTGTTGTTGTTGTCAGTGGTGGTGATTTGATGGGCTCGGCCGAGGTGGATGTTCTTTGGTTGTTTGTTCGATGAGGGAAGTCCTCAGGGAATCCGCTGAGTTGTTCTTCTGCTTCGTTGTTGTTGTTCTCGCTAGTTTTTCCATTGTGGTTGAGGTTGATTGAGTTTGTGGTGGTGTTCATGGTGGTGGTGGTGATGGTTCTGGCCAGACTCCGCTGATCTCCACCGAAGTGGTCAACAGCAAGCTCCTGTTGCCTTCGGGGGGTCAGACCTTGAGCCGGGTGAGCCCCGGTCGGAGCACATATGTAGCAGCCCCGGGGCGCGAATTCGCGAGCCACCTTGAACATCGATTGACCACCCCCTTTTGATTAGCACAACAAACTCCCAAGAATACTGCGGGAAAACTTGGGAAATTCTCACCAATTTGGTCAAACTGATATATTGTTCTATATTTTTCTATCAGTATTAACAGTTATTTCAGGGGAATCATGCAAGGTCCTAGATGCAAGGTCCTAGAGGATAATTAAACACAGTTGATTTGAGGGAATGGGCTTGAACTCCCACAACAAAGTTGGAGTTACTTGTCAAACTCAAGAACAGGAACTGATCTGCAAAAAAAAAGCTTGATCAAAATCTACACTTGTGGATTTTTTTCTGTTTTTCCCTTTTTTTTCTATCCCACTCTTTGGAGAATTCTCTCAGCATCTAGTTACAGATAAAAGATATGTTACAATATTGTCTCCTAAGATACAAAACTTCACTCTTTAGTTACCACAAACAAGTTCAAAAACTTATTACAAAATATTTATTATGATATTATCTATAAATGATCTTGATGTTTTCCTCCTCTTTTGTCTGCTTAACAGACTTATCTTGTTTTTTTTTCTCAACTATGACAAAAACATATTATCATTATACAATTTACAAATTAAAACATAAGTTGAATGCTTTAAGTTAAAACAAAGTTCTAAGAAAAGTCCAGAATATCGCCAAAGTTACCGTGTTCTTTACAGTACTCTATCTGAAATTCTTAACTTCATGCACCAAGCCATGGTCATATTAAAAGGGAGGTATCTGATTTGATTAAGGACCAATGTACCAAAACAAGAAAAATCAGAGATCTTGTGTCTTGGGGGAGCAAGGACAGTGGCAGAACTGGAAAGAGAGAAAGCATCCATTGCATATGTTGAGAAGCAAGCATACCACACAAAAAAACTAACAGGCGGGGAGGAGAGAGATAAAAATAATAAGGGTAAAGGAAAGGAGAAACAATTAGGCAATGAGAGAGCATCTAGAGGGAAAAAGTAAAAACAAGGAGAAACACACTAGAATACAGTAGGCCACAGTGAGAATATAATAGAGTTTTATTGAGAAAGAAGAAAATTTAACTAAGAAAAAGAATGGAATATTCCACTAATGAGATATAAAAGCCAGCAATTTGATGAGTAGGCAAAAAAAGAGAAACATCAGACAAAAATCACAAATAGGAGAATTCAAAAACTGATAAAACTAGAAACAAACTACAATTCTTAAATGATTCTGAAGTTTGTCACTTCTCTACTAATTAACCTTGACCATTTTACGTTGTGATTTATCATCTTCCATCTTTTTTGTAGATGCAATGATCTCTGAACTTTCACCAAAATAGTAGCCCTGCTTGATGTTTGATTTTTTGACGATATCAACCAATGAATCTGATGATCTTTGAATCAAAGCCAAATCATTTTCACCCTTCTTCAAAGTCACTATTGATCTTTGAATTTCTTTCTTCTTGATTGCAATCAAAACTTCCAAAAGTTTCATGTTGCTTTTGTTCTGCCCATCTTGTTGGTCTAAAATTTTCAAAATTTTAACAAATTTGGTCTCATCTTGATCAATTTGCTTTTTATTTTGAGTTGATTCAACTAATATTGATTTGATTTTTGTGAGATCATCCTTATTGAAGTTTTCAAACAATTCATTACTTGCAATTTCATTAATAGATTCAAAATCTTTAGGGATTTCAAGGTTTGAGATTGCATATGCTTGTTTTTTCAGATGATCTGGAATGTTACCTTTCTCATCTATGACAGCTTCAATAGCCAATTTTCTGATTTCATCCCGAGAAAGTTGTAATAAATTTCCTGATCCACCTTGAAAACCCTTGGCATATAGGTAATTGTTTTCTTTGATTGAAAGCTTGATATTGTTTTCCTTCATCTTTTTCAATGCTGAGATAGCATAATAACTCAGCATATTATCCTGGGGATCTTCCTTCTCCAGGTGGTGAATGGCTGTTGTGGTCAGATCATAATTTCCGCAAATTCTTTCTATCCTTGACATATTTTCATCATATTTAGTAGCATATTGATCAATTATGTCTTGATATTTCTCTTCAAGATTCAAGTAGCTTTTTCTGGGATTGAAATTCCACCACCATTCTGCCAACTCTTTTCGGGCCTCTTCCTGATTGGTAGATGTAAATAGAGGATCCACTCTTTCAGTATCCATGCTCAAAGTAGCAAAAGCTTTCATATACAAGATCTTTGTTTTTGATTGTTGGGTATCTGTGGGAAGCGCCAGAAATTCTCTTCCGTGGCCACCTATCTTCCTAGGGAGATTCTCGGAAGACCCTAGCTCTTTTAGTCTGTCATCGAGATTCAATTTACCTGTGGCCCACTTTGCGGTTTCTAGCGTTTTTTCAGAAAGCATGTCTGAGGCTCTTAGGGCAATTTCTTTTGTTTTAGTAGATGTTTCTGCGTACATGAAATTGAAATAACCATGGCGAGTGCCATATTTCAGAGTTATGTCTTGAGCAACTGTGTGCAGTGACAGCAATTGAATCAACCTTTGATCTTCAGCCGCCAGGTGAGGTGGGTCAAGTGCTAGATTTTTGATGATTATTTGAACCTCTGGCCGCAAGAAATAGCTCTGATTGGTATCTTCTATGACCGAAAGGCGATATATAACATTGCGTTGTTCCTCACTGAACTTAGTGCTGTGTTCTTCCATTTCCCTTCTCAACTTGCTCAATGTAGGGAAAGGTCGGGGCCTTTCCCGGTCCGCCTGGGTTAAACTCCGCTGCCGGAAAAAGTTGACAATTCTTGCTAGAGGTCGCCATTTTCTCTTTGCATCTAAGTTCTTCTTGATCGAACTGAAAGTTGCGGTCAATAGATACTTGACTGGCCTGTTCTCTTCTCTTTCCAAACACTCCCCGAGTATACCACTTTGGAGACGGACGCGATTGATTTTGAATTCGCGCACAATACGATCCTTCCATTTGATCAAGAGAATCTTCAATTTCTCTTCTTGGATTAAGAAAGACGCGCGAAGTTCTGTGTCGATTTCGTTGATGACTTCCAGTCTTTTCTTGTCTCTTGTCAACCTAGAGATTAGTTCCGCTTTGGTCAAGTGCTGGTCGATCAGATTCAGGGGTAGACTGTTTACACTCGCGATTTTGGGGGCTATGCGGGCCACGCGAGTATGAAAATTTTCTGCGTCTGATTTGGAGATTGTTTCGCCATCTTCCGTAATTTCCTTCGCTTGGTGATGTGGTGGGCTTGCAGGGGAATGAGCTTGGTGCCCGAATCCATCGCCAGTGTGAATTTGGCTCTTGGAATCTTGCAATCCACCAGCAACGCCTACACTGGATCTGATCGTTGGGATCGGTGGCTCACTCTCTAGGATTTCTTTGCCTCGAAAATCCGGTGAGCTATCATCACTTGCAGTGGGCATAGTCTCTGTGTTCTTTTGTAATTTAAAATTTCCTAAACCGCTGGTGATGGGTTGATGAGATTGGTGGCTAGATCCACCACCGATGCGACGGCAGTCTTTGTAGCCTTGCAACTGAGGAAAAGCCGTGATGGTAGATTCAATTTCAAGCCCTGGGTTCTGTGGCATTGCCGGTGATGATTCAACGAAGAAGGCGCAACTGCCAATTATCGCCAAACATTTGAGTAAGATCTTCCAATCAATAGCCTTCCCCGTGCACCGCGCATCAAGTAGGACTCTTCGCACAATCATGATGTAATTGGACAGAAGATAGAGCTAGTTGATGCAGTCTGTCTGAAGTATGTATCCAAAATGGCTCTCTTAAAATGAGTGGGCCGAAGCAACGCTCGAATTGGAGTTGTGATGAAAATTTATGCACGAAATGAATCTAAGGAGCGGGAAGAAGCACGTTTATGCTTCTTGTGCTATCGTTTCCACCCTTCACAATCACCAAAGTAGGTACATCTCCATACTCATCTTGTATACAAGTATCAACGATTCGAACGGCCGATATTGCGGTTTCTTTTCTGAATCTTCCCGCATCAGCGAAATCAGTGTACTCTGAGCCTTGCTACAGCATATGAGTTATGTCAGAATCATGTTCGACCGGCTCAAGCGCACTACGCCTCGGAGACCGGCAAGACGCACTTTCATCATTGAAAAGTGTTTTGGCGGCCTTGGCTTCCCTGCGACGCGTCACAGGGAGGAGAGATGAATCCAATGCCCGAAACCTTTCTACCCAGTGCGACTTGAAGTGGTTGGTAGGTGAGATGGCTATTTATCTCCACACGGGAATTCTGAAATACTGCACACTAGCTTACAAAGCCCTTGGACTCGTCGGGCCAGGATGCCTGGCAGGCGCAGCCGCGCAAGCGCCCCTCGCGAAGCGAGCCTCCTTTGTCAACTCCGAGGCGAAAACAACAACAAAAAAATCTTTTTTCTATAAATTTATTTTCAAAAAATCTATTTCTTGGTTATAAATTTCTTTATTCTCAAGGTTCAACTCTTATATACATAGTATAAAATAGTTGCGTAGAGTCTACCCGTGACGCGAATTTGTCGGAAGATCGCGCCAGGGAAATTGAGATCCCAGCGCGTGTCGAATAAATATAAATAATTTTGTCTCGCGCTTGTTTTTCCCTCCCCTCATGGGATTTATTTTGTTTACACTTTCTAAAAGTACTCTCTTCAGAAATACTTAAAAGACCTTTTAAAAAAAAAAAAAAGAAAGAAACCTGCAAACCTGCACCTGAGACTTTCACCTGCTCGCTTATTCTTTACATTATAAATCCCACACCTTCATAGTTTATCGGATCTTGCACACACATCCGCCAAACTGCCTGATTTCCCTCCTGAAACTTTTTGCCCTGTTGATTCCTCTTCGATTCCATTCACTTCTCGCCCATCTCGTTGGAATATTTCAAGTCCAGCACCCGCAACTCCTTCTACAACTTCAAACCGCTCTCGCCCCCCGGTCTCGCTACCAGTCCGTCGGATTCATCCGGTCTCGAAGAAGCCCATGACGGGGTTTGGTGAGAATACGGTTGGCGGTTTTACCGACGCAAGCGAGGTTCCATTAACGGAAGGTTCGACCCAGCAACAATAGGAAGGTTCGACCCAGCAACAACAACAGGACGAGAATTCGTCACAGCCGCGTGCAGGGATGGCGACGTCGGATCGAGTAGAGCAGTTGGCGGGCGAGTTGGCCGGTATGAAGGAGGCCATGGCGCGTATGATGTCCCTGATGGAAAACTCGCCGGTTTTTCATCAACAACCTCCACCTGCTCCGAACCCCCCACAGGTTTCTGTGAATCACCAAACTCACGACACCCAACGGTGGGCCAGCTACACTAACTGTAGCGTTAGCGTAGCGTAGTGTAGCGAAAAATCGCTACAATGTAGCGTAGTGTTAGCGCTTTTTTCATTTTCAGCGCTAACGCTACGCGCACGGGGCAAAACAATGTGCTAACGTTCAGCGTAGCGTTAGCGCAATTCTCCCCATCTGCGCTAACGCTACGGGCACAGGGCGCAAAAAACCGCCCGCTACGCTGCGCTACAGCAGTTTTTAGCGGTTTTTTGGCGTTTTTTGCCGCTAAAAACGCTGTAGCGTAGCGTAACGCAGCGTAGCGGCGCCAGCGGGGCGCTAACACTACACCAAAAAATGGCTAGTGTTAGCGCCGCTACAAGTTAGCGTAGCGCAGAGGCCGTAGCGGCGCGCTAACACTACACGAAAAAAAAAATTTGGCGCCGCTACGCTAACGCTACATGGGCCCGTAGCGTAGTGTAGCGTAGCGGCCCACCGCTGCGACACCCCTCCTCATTTTCCAGCTTCCGTTCCGCAACAGGCCCCAGCATCAGCAGCAGTTGCATCCTCGGCCCTTTATCAAGCCCCAGCGGCGCCGGAGTTCGATCACCTGTCGCGACTGGAACCCCTGAAAATCAAGGATCTATGGTTCTCGGGCGATTCAGCGCATCTCCTTTCGTTTCTCAGGCACATCAGAGATTTTCTTCGACCGCGGGCTTCCCTCTTTCAGTCTGAATCGCGACGGATTGTTTGGATCTCTCGTCATTTTGGCCACCACCCTTCCGACCATCAAAAACAACCGTCGCCGGTCGAAAACTGGTACAACTCTCTCATCATCGACAACGCTCGTCGGAAAGGGGTGTTCAGCATGTACGCCGACCTGGATGGGGTAGAGTTTACTCACCCAACTTTGCTTTCGGTGGAATCGTTCTTGGAGGGGCTTATCTCGATATTTGGCGACAAATTCATGAAAGAGAACGCGAAGCGAGCTTTGGCGGCCTGCAAACAGCGCAACTTGACAATCGGGGAGTATAATTCACAATTCAAATCCCTCGTATATTTAGTTGAGGACGTTGAAGATACCCGGATCGAGAAATATGTCCAGGGACTGAATCCTCGAATCATTCGTCAGGTCATGGGAAAGCAGTGGCGTGAAGCTCGTTCTCTCGACACTTGTATGGAGCTGGCTTCCGATGCGGCGGCAGAGCTAGACCTATTGGCTCAACTTCCTCCAGAACCAGCGGCCGGCACCCCCCTCCCTCCTCTTTCTTCTAACAGGCCGGGATTCCATCCTCCACCTCCGCAACGCCCCCCGCGGGACCCGGATGCGATGGAAATCGATGCAGCCAGGGTTTTTCCGGCCGGCAAGTCTCTTCTGGACATGGCCCGAGCACTCTGCAAAGCAAGGAACCTTTGCTTTCGTTGTTTAGGTCCCATCGTCCCGGGAGTCCATACGGGGAGTCTCAACTGTCCAAACCAGTTTATCACTCAAGAACGACGTCAAGCCTTTGTGGACAGCTGCAAGAAACAGTCATCGGTACCGGTCTCTATGTTGCATACGAGCTCGGCATTTCCCCCCCCTTTAACCTATCGACCAGTCCCGGCTCCAGATCCTCTTCCGGAATCCTCCCTTCCCTTGGAGGGTTCGGCGGAGGAAGCCCCTCCTATTGGGGATGCTGCAGAATGGGTGGATTGCGAGGATGGAGGCGACGACTACGATGCTTCTTCTTGTGCCACGGCCCCGGTTCCGATCTCTACGGTTCAAGTCAGACTGGATTGTTCAAAAGGAAGCCGTCTGTTGGTTCCAGTCTCCTTTTCCACCCCGGATGGCGGCGCGGTTCCGGCTACAGTGTTGGTCGATACGGGGGCCGGGGCGAACTTCATCAATGAAAGCTTCGTCCGGCTTCATAACCTCAAGTTGCACCCAAGACAGGTTCCCATTCGTTGTGTGGGGTTCGATGGTCGAGAAGGCGTGGGCGGCATCGTGGATCAAAATTGGGCGGGGACGATCCGTCTTTCTACCGTTGACTCAAAGCCGTTCCCAATCCATAGCTCGTTTGGCGTCACTCGACTTGGGTCGGTCGATGCCATCTTCGGTTTGCCATGGTTGGATAAGCAGGGTTGGGTGGCATCAGGGAACTCAAAAGGTGGACATCAATTTACTCTTGGGTCAACCCCTCTTTACGTCATGGAAACTACGTCGTTGGGAGGGATGCCCAAAGGTAAAGAAGTGTTTTCAGCTACTCCTCTGTCCCCTTCTCTCAACCTTCCTCCAGAGTTTCAACGTTTTGCTGACGTGTTTTCTCCGCAGACAAATTGTGCGCTCCCTCCCCATAGAAGCATGGATATTTCCATTAATCTTAAGGATGGGGCTACACCACCATTTGGTGGTTTGTACAATTTGTCATTAGCAGAACAGCAGCAGTTGAAATGTTACATTGATGATAATTTGAAAAAAGGATTTATCCGTCTCTCTTCCTCTAGTGCCGCTGCCCCCATTTTTTTTGTCCGTGTCCCAGGTAAGAAACCCCGCCCGTGTGTGGATTATCGCGGTCTAAACTCAATGACCATCCGAGATAGCTACCCCATCCCAATCTTGGGACAGTTGCTGAATCAGCTTCAAGGTTGTAAATTCTTCTCTAAGATTGATCTGAAGGCTGCATTTAACCTCTTACGGGTAGCTGAGGGTCATGAGTGGAAGACTGCATTCCGCACACCGTGGGGGTTGTATGAATACCTGGTTATGCCGTTTGGTTTGGCGAATGCCCCAGCGTGCTTCCAACGTTTCATTCAATATGTTCTTCGTGAGGTTCTCAATGTGTCATGTTTTGTTTACATTGATGACATCTTGATTTTTTCAAAGACGAAGGATGAACATGAACGACATGTTTCGGAAGCAGCGGTGGGCAGATACGTTACGGTACGTTACAGCAGGGGATTTGGAGAACGTAACTTTTTTTTAGTTATCCAAATCTGCTGTTTTTGTAAAGTAACTAAATTTGCTTGTAAAGTAAAGTAACGTAACCAATTTTATTTTTTCCATATATTTTTTTGGGGTAACGTAACTTACTTGGGGGGAGGGGTGTTATGAGAGGTTGAAGGGCTAAAACATATTGCATATAGCTTAACGGTCAAAGTGTGCCTCACATGTACAATGAATATGTGGAGGTTGTGGGTTCAATCCTCACACCAGACATCTTTTGACCTGGCTTACTGGTGAAATGATAATCGCTGGTTGGTTTATGATCATATTGGGCAAATTATCTCGCACTTAATGAACAAAACCATCAACAATCAGTGTATCACCAGCAAAGTTACCCTTAAGTTATCCAGTTATTGGAAATTCTGTAACGTAACCCTGTTTTGTTCAGAATTTCTGGGAACGTAACTAGAAAAAAAAGAGGCCTTTTGCTCCAGTAGATATCGTAACTGAAATAAAGATATCTGT